TTTAATGTGCTAAAATTTATTTCAGATTTGATTATTTGCATTTTAATTTTATATACCTGCATTTCTGATTGATTAATTATGTGCCGTCAGATCATTTTCAATTCAAAGTGAGCATGGAGATCGGGGTGGGCAATTAATTTTCCCAAGGGGCCACAGGAGAGACTGGAATTGTTGGAGGGCTACTGCCCTGCCCTTTGCCGCCATTGCCCTGCTGGCCCACTGCCACTCCTGCACTGCTGCCCTGCTCTCCATTCATGTGGCTCTTAATCCCTGCCCCCAACACCGGGCCAGACCAGGACTGTCCACGGGCTGCAAAATGCCCAGGTCTGATACTGATAAATCTTCTCCATGATGCTCTATCCCTAACGAAGTCTCTCAATGGTGCACTCATCAGAACTGAAATTGAATCCATATGAGGGTTCTTTGTTCTCCAAGGACTGGATACACCACAATGTAGCAAATAAAGCAGAATATTTTATTGCAACACACACCTTCCTCAACAACAGGCTCTAGGTCAGTGATGGCGAACCTTTTAGAGACTGAGTGCCCCAAAACCGCCCCCCTCTGCTCCCCTGCCCACAGGGCCACCCACCGCCTCCATGCTTGTTTAATTTAAGATTATGCCAGCTATGTTGGATTTAGGCTGCTGTAGATTTTATGATCATCATTTGACACCGGGTAACATAGGAATCAATAACACTATAAGATAGTGCTTCTCAATTTTTTCCTTTATTACTCAAAGCCACTTAACAGAAAACCCTTATTTATACATCCCTGCTGTGATTGGATTATGGGTTTGTGTGTTGTTACCCAAAGAAAAATCACTTTTACCCAAATTTGGTTACAGGATCCAATCTGGGTCGGTCACTGTTTTTTTCTTCCGAGTTTTTGGACTTGTGCTGGAGCCCCCATCATCTGGGAACTAATCTCTAGCCAATTTTGTTTAATTTACCCAAATTTGGGAAGCACCATTGTAGAAGAATGCATTGTGCTTAAATTGTTCTTCCTAGTAAATTGTTTTTCCCTAATGAATTTTTTCCAGGAACGGTCACAGCTGCCAATGCTAGTACGCTAAACGATGGAGCAGCTGCTTTGGTACTGATGACTTCAGAAGCAGCCAAAAGACTGAATGTGAAGCCATTGGCAAGAATAGTAGGTGAGGATTGTCTTTCCCTTTGGTGAAATTGTCGTGTGTATATATTTCCCTGAGTAAGACTGGTGGTAGATGACAGACTTCTCATTTTGTTTTCTCTGTAGATTAGGTAGGACCCATTTTTGATCAAGCGGTTTCAACAAACTGGAATTTTGCCAAAAGCCAAAGTTTAAAAAAAAAAGGCTTTGGAACCTTTCAGTGCACTTTTCTCGCATGGACTTTTTAAAGTATGTTTTAAGGCAGAGATCTCCAACCTTTCCAGGCTTGCGACCCGGAGGGGAGAGCAGCTTCCAAATTACTGCCTGCGTGTGCACGCACACAAACGGGGCCACGCCCACTGATGCAGTACTAGCAGCCATGCTCGCACATGTGCTGGCGCCATGCGCAAACAGCCATGCACCCCCGCGGTGGCTAGTACCCATTCACACATGTGCAAATGGGCCGAGCACCCCCCCCACTAGCGTTCCTGTTCGAGCCCGCACGCATGAGCAAACGGCCGTGGGCGCTAGCACAAGTGGGGGGGAATGTGCGCCCACACGTGTGCCCTGGACAGCCATTTCTGCGGCCCACTGGCTAAGAGAGCTGCGGCCCATAGGTTGGGGACCTGTTTTAAGGAATGAACTCTGAAATTGTGCTCTTGATAGAGGAATCGTTGCTAGAATAAAATTCAATATTAAGAGTAATCAAAGCACATTTAACAAAATATTTCTTTTCTAATTCATGTTTCTGTTCTTGCAGGTTTTGCAGATGCTGCTGTTGATCCTATTGATTTTCCCATTGCACCAGCACACGCTGTTCCTAAGGTGACCATCTCTACCATTGTTCTACCTTCATTTAGTTGCTCATTTAATTCTGCGTTTAGTCTTCAGTGGAAATGTAATATAATGGACTTTAAAATTAATTTCTCAAGTAGATTATCTGCTTAAGTTTAAAAACAAATCTAAAAAATTAACTACTTTGTGTTGGTGGTTTGGAATTGAGTGAGCCATTGCATTTTAGTTCTGGTTTTGGATAAATTAATAGCAGATTGTATTTGAACAACTGGAATAATAAATAATAATAAAGTTGCCATTGTTAAGTGAATCCTACACTGTTGTTATGCAAGACATTTTGTGATCACCATTTTTGACCTGCTGGCTTTCCCATTGACTTTGCTTGTTGGAAGTCAGCAGTGAAAGTCACAAATGGAGAGATCATGGGGACTGTGGGATGCTGCCAAGTTGTAATGGCAAGCTGGCCACTGGCCCCTTGATTGTGATCAGATGACCACTGGGACACTTTGAGGACTGATCATAAATGCCACTTGTTCAGTGCCATTGTAAGTTTGAATAGTTGTTGAATGAGCAGTTTTTAAGTGAGGGCCACCTGAATTCCCTTACTGTAATTGAACCATATCCTCATAGATTTCGGCTTTACAATTTTGCAAGGGTGAGGATCTCTTCCGACTGCCTAGTTTTAAAAAGTAATGGATTTCAGCTTAGATAGATGGTGTAGAATAGTTCTATACCTCAGAGCTATGTTTGTGTGGTTTTCAGCATTTTTTTTTTAAAAAAATGATTCTATTTTTCCCCTTGTAATTATGTTTCAGAATCTGTGTTTTTAGCTTCGAGGTTGTGAGTTTTTGTTTCATCTTTTCTGCTTTTTACTTCTGTGTGGGTGTGTCCTGATCTGCTCATAAAATTCTGGTAGTACAGCAAATAATATAAATGTTATCTGTACATACATGCCAGTGGTATTTTTCCTTTCAGGTACTTGCTCAGGCAGGACTCAAAAAGGAAGATATTAATATGTGGGAAATCAATGAAGCATTCAGTGTTGTTGTCTTAGCTAACATTAAAATGCTAGACATTGATCCACAGAAGGTAAATATTCACGGAGGAGCAGTTTCTTTGGGACATCCAATTGGGTAAGTAAAAAAAATACATTAACTGGTGGTGGGAAATAACCGATCCCTGTATAAGTAGACCTTAACATACGACTGTAATTGACCCCAGTCATAAGTCACGCTAGTTGTTAAGTGGTTAACCACGTGAATGCATCTAATTTTACAACCTTTTTTGTGGTGGTTTTTTAGCCAATGGGTGCTTTTTGAAAAAAAAACAACCTGGAGATAAATGCCATTTCCAGCAAAAAAACTTCATAAATTGTGGTCAAGTGCCCAAAATATAATCACATGATTTATTTCACATTTTTGAACCGCCCATCTCCCTGAAGTCCTCTGCCTCTCTCAAAAGCCTCCTGACTCTTTAATATAAGAGACCCCCACTGGGTTTGTATTGGGAGCCTTGCAATGTATTTGTGTAAGTGACAATTAGCATGTCTTATACTGAATTTATCTCTGAGCAACATTTGAAGTACAACTCGTATTACGTACTTGTTCTTAGCATATTGTAAAATGTTTCACAAAAAAATATTCACAAACTATTACTCAGATTTAAACATCTTTTAGAGATTAGGCAACCTGGTGCCTCCAAATGTTTCTACCACGAAATCGCATTTGCCCCCATCAGTAGTGACAACTAACTAGTAATTATGGGAGATGTGGTCCCGAAAGATTGGACAGTAGCAGGTTGCATATATCTTAAAATATTTCAAGGTCTATTGGAAAATAAAGTTCCCGATTGTGCTGAATGTAGTTGGGAAAACTAGTAGAATATTAAGAACATTGACCATTACTTGCTAGACTTTGTCTTTGAACTCAAAAGCAGTTGAATGATCTTTGTAGGACAGCTATGACCTTCCAGAAATTTTTAGACTGCATCTTTGATCTTAAAGTCTTTGAACTTGCCACTTGAGATGATAATAGGAATCTAGCTGTAGGTCCTTCACCCCCCGCTCTAGTGTATCTTGGCTTGGAACATGGTTGCAGTATACATGAGTTATCTGAGAATCATTGTTTTTTCAGACTATTCAGTTCTGCATTAGATAAAGCAGTAATCTCACCCAGTACAAAGCAGTTTTATTTTAGGGATCCTATGCCCTGTCATTCTAAAACTCTGACTTAACAGCTTTAGCATAGTAATCTTTATTTCCCCCTCTCTATCTTTCCTTTTGACATACCTGCATCTCATCTTTTCCTCCTGGGGCCAAACACACATCATTAACACCTTTGTGAGAGAAAGGAGGTTGAACTAACATGAAAGGAGGTTGAACTAACTCTTTGTGGGGAGTATATACTTAAACTGAATAACAGCACCTGTTTACACAGCATAAAGCTGAAAAAGCTAAGCAAAGACTGTATTCTGACTTGAAACTCTTTTCTTTTCTCTATTTCAGGATGTCTGGTGCAAGAATAGTTGTTCACATGGTTCATGCCTTGAAGCAAGGAGAACATGGCCTTGCTGGGATTTGCAATGGGGGTGGTGGGGCATCTGCAATACTGATCCAAAAGTTATAGGTTCTGATCTCAAGCTCAAGGCCCAACTTATTCATAGCTGTTACAACCATGATTGGACCTGCAGTAGAGAGGATCATTTCAGTCTGCCACTGTTAAATGAAATTATGTCTTTTTATTATGTTTTAATGCAAAATGTTTTTTTTAATATCTTGGACAGTAAAACATGTTAATTATCACCCAACGCTGCAGGTATCATAACTACTTTAGATACTTATCATACTTTATATTGTCCTGTTCTCATCACTGGATTGTAGGCATTCATTTGCTCTTCTCCCTTAGCCTCCTAAAATGAAGGCAGTGGGTTGTGCCATTTGTATTTTTGCCCAGAAAACTACTGCTTGTTTGGAGGAAGATAGTATAAAAGTAATACTGGATTATGTTTCCACAATTGGTAGAAACAAAACAAGAAGGGCTACTGAATAAATATTTACCATACAACAATAATGAATTGGTTTCTTATTCTGGCTCAGGGACTTAAGCCAATCACAGCTTGTGTTATGTGAGTATCAAGTTTTTAAAAATTAGCATTTTGAAGTTAGAGTATAACTGAAAAATGGAAAAACAATCTTTGCCACTCTTAAGTATTGCAGCTCTTCTGAAAGTTTACCTGTATGTACTTGCTTATAGTTGTAACTGAGGAAAGTGTAAAGGAAAACTTTTCAACTTGTAATAGCAAATCACATTCTAGAAAAATAATTCCAGATAGTTGGATGGCAGTTGAACTATAAGCAAGAGTTAAAAGAGCAATTAAGATTTTATATCTATAGATGGTTTCTGTGCAGCACAGTTTCAATCTGATTTATATAGGATTGCCCATAAAAAAAACAGTGATGAACTGTTACTTAGCTACTTTGGTCATTCATCCTCATATATGTTTCAGTATAGCAAAAGAAAGCAGAAGCAGGGTTTCAATTTTTAACAGGTACAACAATATTCTTTTGGTTATGCACACTTTGATAAGAGTTTTACATTGAAAGATTAAAATTAGGTTGAAGACAGCATGCTGTCCACTGAGATATGAAACAGGGTCTTTGTATTGCTACTCTAAAACCTCTTGAAAAACATTTTCATGTGTGGAAGTACACAGATTGAATTGTTAAACAGCTGGAATGCTATTTTTGAATTCTTGGTAGAGTCACTTTTAAATATCTGGTAGATGTTGATTATAAATAGCCAACTATCAGGCAAAATGAACCTGATCTATATTTAAAATATCTTTGTAGTTTCAACTGAATGCAAAGTCGTTACTCCTGTTACCTTCTTGATACACTCGAGCCTAAAAAAGAGAGAACCTTACTCTAGCTGTATATACATGCATGACAATTTAGAACCAGGGAAATGAGGATTTTACATTATATGAGAGACTGAGTAGAAAGATTTCTAAAATTCTCAAGATTCCTAAGAGGATTCCTTCTCCTGCAAGGACATAGGTGGAGGGTTGTGCAGCATGCACCAAGAACTATACTTTGAGCAGTTCTGCTTTCCCATTCATGCTGTTCTAATTGTGTGGGATGCCCACTACTGCAAATGGTGTCACATCTTCAGGATATATATTTAAATATTCACTTGCTTAAACAAGTTAAGCAAGGTTTTATCAAAATTAAATCTGTATCCCTAAAGGCAAAAAACATATCCTTAAATAAATTATATTGTGTAAATGAGAAGTCTATTAAAATATCTATGTATAGTAAGAGAGCTGAAAACTATTTATTATGATAGATTACAACTAAAGGGGAAAAAACAGACAAAAGGAAACAGGAAAGAGTTCTCAATACAAAATCAGCTAAGGCTTTCATTACAGTATATACTCATGGATAAGCTGAACCCAATTCTTGGGGTGCTTTTTTGGCACCGACTGTAAATTCTCAGGTTATCTGCAAGTATATATAGTAAGTCTATTCATCCAAATCCAATTATATGAAGTTTGCTTCGATTAAACCATGTGGTCCAATCCTAGGCACACAATCTAAAAATACTCCACAATTCAGCGGACTTGGTTCTAGGCATCTTTAGGATAAGAGGTGTTTGACACCATGAAAACCTGCTAAAACAATTCTAGAAAAACATAGTCAACACCTGGTGTTAATAAAAGTAGCATTTTGTTCTTTTGCAACTTGAAAATCTGTACAATAATTACATGACAAAATAAACTACAAATTTAACATAGAACCTTTAAAGGCTCACTCAGAAAACATCCATTAAGTTCTTTAGATCCAGGGTGATTTTTGTTTTCAGAAGTTGAATTTTAATGGATTATGCAATATAATCCTAAACTTGTTCTCTTTTCTCCATCGCGCTGAAGAACATCTGTGCTTGAATACAGCTGGCACTTATTCATCATAATGCAATGATAATAAAAATTTATCCACATCCATTTCTGCAGGAAAGGCAATTGGTAATTTCTTCTGCTGAAAAATAAAATATTTTATGGCCAATGAAGGTTCTTTAGTGTCTTTAGTTCTGCAGGACTTGACTCAGTATTAATTTATGGCTAAAATCTCCATACAACAGATCATTTAAGCTCCCAGCTCCAATCCTGACTGTATGCAAGAGTATCAAACTTTTTTTTTCTGATAGTAAAACTGCCCCATGCCCCGTTCTGTAAGATGTTTGCCAGATAACCATTCTTAATAGGAGATAAACAGCAGGCTCCCTTACGGACGCTAAACTAGTTGCAGATTTTAAGATTTTAAGAATTAAGGTTTAGCCTTAAGCACTATTGTAAGTATCATAAGCAGTAAGTCAGTTTAGTAAACAGGTGCTTCATACCAAGGGGCGATGGTATAGAATATTACCACTATAAGTAAACACTCTGTGTCAAAATTATCAATATTTTTTTTATTTCTTTTAGGAAGGAGTTACTTTTAGTCCTGTCTTGGTCAAATCCTTATCCTGAAAATGGCCTATCTTAATGGATAGAAAAGAGGAAGGATGTATGCTATAAACAGTGACCAAGTCAAGAGGAGGATTTTCTTCCCCAAAGTACATGAATACAAGTAGGAATTACAGGGAAAATGTTTCTTGTCCACATGGTAGAATACACTGGGAAGGGATGGTCCTCAATATTGGCTGTTCAGGGATTAATTGAGCCAATTTGGTGCAATGGTTAAGGCACTGGGCTAGAAACCAGAACCCCGGGAATTTTAATCCTGCCTTAAGCATGAAGCCAACTGGATGATCTTGGTCCAGTCCCACTCTCTCAGCCCTAGGAAGAAAGCAAGGGCAAACCACTTCTAAAAACTTGCGAAGAAAACTATGACTCAAAGGCACTCAAGGACAAAATGAGGGATTGATTGCTATTCTTCTATACATAATTAATATAATAATAAGTTGGAAGGGACCTTAGAGGTCATTGAGTCCAACCCCCTGCTCAGGCAGGAAACCCTACACCATTTCGGACAAATGGCTGCCCAGTCTCTTCTTAAAAACTTATAGAAATAATGTCATGCTGTTAAATAAAAAAAAAACACCTGCTTACCTTTATCTTCTTTTTTTTTATTGGCAATGCAAAGTTCTGAATATCCTTTTTACTGGGAGTCCTGGAATTCTTTTCACAATCAACTGAGTCTTCCTGCTTTCTTTTTTTGGCTGCACTTCTTAAAGACTTAAACTGTTGAGTATTGTCCTTCAGTGGAGTAGTTGTATTAGTCCTTGCAATAGCAGCCCGTGAAAGTATCATCAAAGTGTGGGCAGCCATGCTAACACTGTTTTCACTACCCGTTTCGCTTGCTGGGCTACAAGCCGGCAGATCAGGAGTAGCTGGAGGAACCATGATCCTTGGTGTTGTACTATCTTCACTATACCTTTTACAGGTTGGCGTCCTTATATCAAAGGTATCATCTGAATGTCTGTCACTAGTACCTGAAGGCGTCCGGGGTACTGGCAGTTCCCCATTTTCAGGTAGCTTACTAGTGGGGCTCTGCCTTTGAATATCATACAGCATTTCCACAGCTTGCTTAGTTAAAGGACCGGTCAAGCTGTTGACTTGACTGGGAGACTTTGTTTGTTCTTTTTTGGGATCCTTTGAGGGTAAAATGCCTGCATTTTTATTGTTGGCATTTGGTTGAAGCCCTTGTTTTTTAGTTACTTCCTGAGCTGAGGAACAATTCTTCTCATGATGAAGACTTTGTTGGCTGTTGGATAAGGCTGCCACCTCCTGAGTTTGGGGGACAATATTCCTTTCTAATTCATTCTCTTTATTTGCCGTCTGCTTTCTTAATATATCCGACGCTAGTCCTGGACCCGAACCTTTTTTTTCCAGTTGGCTTTCCTTTACAGCCAGATTTTTGCTAGTAATATCTGGCTTACATAAAATTCTTGGCAGAGTTCTTTCACGTTCCCTCTTGCCAGGTTGAGGTTTTGTTGATGAAAGCACAGTATTAGAAGAGCTTTGACAGAGCTTAGAATTCTCATTCTTTTCTCTCTGTGATGCTTGGGTGGTATCAAAGCAAAGCACTCTTCTGTGACTGCCATTTTGTTTGAAACTTGGGCTTGTAGTATCAGCTGGCACAGTTTCTAGTTTCTTTTTCAAATCCACACCAATATTTTTGTCTGAGTTTCCAATTCTGAAAGAAAAAAAATAGTATTTGACAATTTTGCATGAAATTTCTATTTTAATTATTTTTAGTATCTAAAACTACCGCTCGGTGCTTGAGTTGGTTTGATCTTAATCACCTCTAATAAATGGATTTAAGGACGATATAAAATGCTAAACATTTTAAAATTGATTATTTTGCCTTATTGAAATGAAGAGAAGGATCCATAACAACATATTTTGTTCAGATGTCTATGGAGATTCTCAATCACTCAGGTTATGGTTGTCCCAAGGGTGCTTTTTCCAAAAGGTAATTGGACTTTGTTGTTTTTTTCCTTTGAAAACATTTTGCTTCTCATCCAAGAAGTTTTTCAGTTCTGAAGTGAAACTTTTTCAAGGAAAAAAAAATCAAAGTCCAGTTGCCTTTTGAATAGTATCTTTGGGATATTTTGTTTAGGAATATTATTTTTATTTATTATCCCTTTTAAGTTTTACCTGTACGTATTTGTATTTGTAGCATGCACATAAAACCAGTTGGAACTGTCTCCTCAGAGTATATGGCAACACTCATTGAAAATGATTGGCATGAAGAATATTAGCCTAAGCAATTACAGGTAGTCTTTGGCTTATGCCCATTCATTTAGTGACCTTTCAGTTACAGTGGTGCTGAAAAAATGGACGTACAATGAACTCTTGAAATTCTGGCCATTGTAGCAATCGGTCATGTGATTGTGGTCTGGGCACTCAGGTGCCCAGCTCACAATTACATCATGTAATCAACACTTGTGATCATTTCTGACTGTTTCCCACAAGAGATCTCAATGGGAAAACCCCCAGGGAAAGTCATAAATCGCTCCCACCCACAGCAATGCTTGCCCAATCCCAAATCACTCAAATGAAGAAATACT